ATGAAGGCATTCTCCACTGCCTCATAGATGGACTTATCCTGAGAAAAGGCCTGCAGAGATAAACAGATAAAAGGCATTTAGCAACATGGATGTAGAGGATATTGTTAACTCATAAAACGGCAGAAGAAAGGATTTTTAGGAGTTACAACACGAGATAAGAGACCATACCAGAGGAAGAATTTTACGGAGACAAGCTTCTGCACCATCAATTTGGAACTGCTTACACCTCATCAACAAGAGAATAGCATTCTCGACATCACTGGCAGAAGAGGAAGCCATCAATTGAACAAGGATCGGCATACTAGCTGACATGCACTTTGAAAAGCTCAAACCAGCCTCGAGGGAAGCAATCAAGGCCTTGGTCTGCTCGAGGTTACCAATATCTGGAACAGAAACATCCTTCTCACAGATATCTTCCCCATTCTCTGGCTGACAGCTATCAGGTAGACTATCCAGATGCGTATTATTTGTAACTTCAGGTTGCGAGTCATCGATTTCACCGTCTCCATTACAGGAGTCACCATCGGAAGTTGGCTCTTTTGATGAGTCCTCAGTAGTGCGGTTTGGTTCAAGTTCGTTGAGTTTTCTTTTGTACTGCTCCAGGGTTGCTTCAAATGAAGCTATCCGAAGCTGTGGACCAAAGGGGTTATGTTGCAGCATTGTGATCAATAAATTCAATGCGGATTTTCTAACAATCGCACTCTTGTCTTCCAGTCTTCCAGCAGATATTGAAGCAACCTCGTTCCATAGGCCAATCGAAACAGAATGTTCCTCACACAGTTCAGCCCAAACCTGAAGAACACGGCTCCTTGTATAGGCAGAAACATCCCTACACCGTTCAAGCAAAATTTCCAACATAGCTTGCTTAGTTCGCAGACGAAGGGACTTGGAACTCACATCTCCCTCAACATCATTAAACGCTTTTGCAACTAATTTCCCAAGAACACCAACTAGTGCGTTTCTGATCTTATATGACTCCCCACCAAAATGAGGGACCAAAACTCCAACATTTGTAGACACCACTTTCGGCAAACGATCAGCAAGCTCCACCAAGAAACGTCCCACATTATCAGCCCCAACCGTATCCTTAACATAAGCCTTTGGATCAGTCCTCCCAATATCTCTAATGATTGTCACAGCCAAAGTACCATCCGAATACTTACTTTCAGCTCTAGCAACTGCATCAGCAACGTGCACAACAGCAAAATCATACTTGTGTATCAAATGCATCACTGACGCACATGACTGCACAATGTAACGGTACTTCGTAGCAGATGCCCCTATGATGCGACACAAAGCATCTTTTGCCTCAGGATCTTTCAAGATTGCAGCATTCTCAAAAAGAGAAAACGAGTTTCTACAAAATAAAATGAACAAAAAAAAAGCTATAAGAGAATGTACATTTTTAACATGAGGAGTATGAGTAGGTAAACAGAACTTACTTGACAACGAAAGAGAGGTAGTTTTCATCTAACTCCGCCGATCCAAACAGCAACGATAAATTGATCTCAAGAGAGTTTGCAATCAAATTAAGCATCCTACCCCTCTGAGCCTCCCAACTCCATGACTGAACAACCTGCTTCTTCCTCCCTCGTCCCGCCACCTGTCCATCCACAACATCACTTCACTAAACTCTCACTCTCTAATCTTAAAACAAAAAGAAAAAAGAAATCACCTTTGTGCTGTCAACAGAGCTAACAAGTGCCTCTTCACTCATAACAATAGTAATGAGAAAGAAAGTGTAAATCTTCAACGCATTGCGATGAGACGTGATCCTATCAATGATTGGAACTTCGTCCTCTTGGTCTTGTACAGACCGTGAGATGGAGTCAACGTTTGGGAGAAGAACACTTAGATTGGAACGGAGGCTTTCAACGAGGTTACACTTGCAAGGAGGTGGAAGAGTGTAGAAGCTTCTGACTAGAGAGTAGACCCGGTCGAAAACGTCTTGGTCTTCTATACAGAAGAGTTCTCTATCGGATAAGTCAAATGATACACCTGAGAGAAGAAGATAACAATAAATTAAATATCTCAATTTTTATCAAATAATCACATAGTTCTGCTTCACTTATGATCTATCTTCGCAATCTAACTTATACATAAATGCTAACTTACTAATAACAAGAAATTATAATACATATTGAAACCTAAAACATGGTATCAGAGCCCGATCCATATAGTACTTCAACTCAATCCACATCGCCTAAAATTAGTTAATTGATTATCGTCCGAACATTCCGAGATTGGAAGCCTAAAACATGGTATCACAATCCGATCCATATAGTACTTTAACTCAATACACATCGCCTAAAATTAGTTAATCATTTATCATCCGAAGATTCCGAGATTAGAAGCCTAAAACATGGTATCACAACCCGATCCATATACTACTTTAACTCAATCCACATCGCCTAAAATTAGTTAATTGATTATTGTTTCGAGATTACTCATCATCTCGAGGGGTGTATTAGAGATAAAAACTTCTACATAAACAATTGGTTTTAAGTTAATCAATTATTGTTTCGAGATCAGTCATCATCTCGAGGGGTGTATTAGAGATTAAAACTTTTTGCATAAACAATTGGTTTTAAGTTGCGAACACGGATTAACACTCCTAAGAGTAAAACCTAAACCCTAATTCAATGGCTGAATCTAATTCGAGATTATCAAGAATTAGATACGAAGATTCGTGTAGTAGAGGTAGGCTTAGAGAGTGAAAGAGAGGGTTTGTTACTACCTTTGACGAACTCTTCGAGATCGGAAGGGCGGAGAGAGGTGACGTCGACGGGGTTCTGAGCGAAGAGACGGTGATTGTCTTCCGGATCTTCTTCTAGGGCTCGTAGGATTTGGGGGAAGACGAAAGGAGGAGCCATTTTCTTAGAGAGAGAGAGAGAGATTAGGCTTTTTGACGAGATTCAATTTCAAAAACGAAATTGAAAATGGCAAGGGAGCGGGAATTCATGGACCACAATATCGGGTCGGGTCGGGTCGGGTCGGATTTGATGATTTTTCCCTAATTATTTATTTATTTTAAAGTGTGGAGATATTAAATTATTGTAAGGCATTGATGATGACGATGCGTTTTCACGGCGGCTTGACTGGCCCAGATAGGGACGTGGCTGGTGAATATCAGTTAATGTAAATAAAAACACGTGTCGTGATATGGTTGGTTAGAAGATCCTTAATTATTTTCGAAGATTTTCTCCGACCAATCAATTATTTGAGCGGAAGAAGAAGAAAGGTGGAGAGATGGCGATGCCGTTGGGCATGGCGACGTATCTGATGAGAATGGTTTGGTTTTCTTTGAGCGGTTGGGTCTTCACTTGCTTGTCTATCGCTGATGAGATCGCTGGTTCTCTTAGAAACGGTGATATTGGTCCTTTTCATGTCGGATGAATCGAGATTCCAGAGAAGCGTATATGTTCTTACTTTCCTCAAATTTAAAGTTTCGTTTTTTTTTTGATCCCTTGGTTTCGATCAGAGTCTCTTACTATTGAGACTCTTAAAACTTTGATTTTAGTTTTGTGTTAGTAGATGGTTAAGATTTAGATCAAGTTTGTGGGTGTGTTTATAGTGACACAGACGTATATGATGTTTCCGGCGAATATGAGACTTTACTATGCTTGTTTCCTTGTTAATGTATCTACTATGAACATTGTGATCAATAACTCTGAGATGCAACAATCCTTGTTGGCTTGTTTTTCTTTTTTTGGACAACCTTGTTGGCTTGTTTTTGTTCTTGTGTTTATGGTTCTCTACTTGTGACACAAAATATATACAACAGCTTTATGGTGATATATGATCCCATAAGCTTAGACAGTTTTTGGATGAGTTTCAGGACATAAGTGATAAGTCTTTTTAAGTTCAGTTACATAACTTTCTTTGAGATTATGTATTTATTTATTTATCTATTTCAACATCATCTTTTGTTGGTCTTTTTTTTGCTCCTTAGTTTGTTTCTTTGTAGGCAGAACAAACATGTTTTGCACTCAGGCCTTTCTGATTTTCAGGAAGGGTATCATATTAATATAACTGCAATCAATCTGCATGAGAACACAAGCTCATGTTCATCTTGATCTGATGTCAAATCTCCTCAGCCAAGAGCAGAGCAAAACATAGCTAATAAAGAGATTATATTCCATATATCTTATCATTTTAACACGATTTTGTTTGATTCAACCAAATCATTCTAAAGAACATATTCCATAAGCATTTTATTAATCATAATGTAACATGTAACAGACTAACAGCAAAGCATTTGACTGACCCCAAACAAGAAAAAATAAAGGTAACAGCAAAGCACCATACTTTCTCGTGGGAATTTGAATCTACAGCTATGTCAATTAATTGTACATCAGTCATCAAACACACCAGCTCAAGGAACTAGAAGTTGTGTGTCAGATTAATAAAAATGAGAAATTTAATGTAGTTTTACTCAAAATTCAACTAAACAAGGTCTCGATATCAGATCAGATATGGAGTAGAAACTTTGCCTAAAGTCATTGATTAAATCATTCACATGAATGCTCTCTGCCCAAGTCGTTTTATATCTGAGTCATTCATTGTATTTAGTAGTACTATTTACAAATATAGTAATACCATTTATTTAAAAAATTGATATTGTTTTCTTTTTACATTAAATTTAATATCGATATAGATGTATTCGATCATTTTTCATATAAAATAGTTTAGAAAGTATTATATTGCTAGAATTAAATGCTAAATTAATTAATATACGAATATATCACATACATTTTGAATTAAAGTTATATTGTAAAATCTTTTGAAAATGACATGACAATATTTATAATTTTTCCTTTTTTCCTCGTATATATCTTGTTTTAATACGAAAAATATAGTCAATACAATAATAAAGAGTGAACTTATGCAGATAATGACATTTTCATTTAATTTCTCTTTTTGTTTATCATCTCTAATTTAATTACATGTTACTTTTGATCAAATAATTACATGTTAAAAAAAAAAACCCCCGCATTTTAGATCCACAAAAAAATATTTTTCCCCCGATTTATACAGTGAAACAGAAGCATTCGTTACAAAAAAAAAAAAGAAACAAAACCAAATCAAATAGTTGGGTGTCGGAAAAATAAACATCACCATCGTGTTCTTCTGCCATTAAATCTTTCACCATCTTCCTTCCTCCTCCAACTGTCTTAGACAGCTATTCTCCACCTCTCTAGCTTTCCTCTTTCTGCATTCTCTATCAAGAAAAACCCAGAAAGAGAAGACAAACTTAAAAAAACAATCTTTATTGTTAATTTCGACTCAAAATGGGTTCTTCTACTTCAAAAACCTCATCTTCAGCTTCAGCTTCAGCTTCTTCTACTTCTTCCTCTTCCTCCCCTTCTCCGGCGATTCATAAAGCTTTCTCCTTTCCGACGCCGTTAGTTCACCATCCTCCGGCTAGAAAAGGCGACACTCACCACCTCGTTTCCCTCACTTCCACCTCTTACGGCTCTCTCTTACTAAAAAAATCTTCCGACCAAGACACGCCTCCTCGTGTCTCAATCTCCGACAAGAACACGACGGATCCGGTCTCACTCGACTCGTTCTCCCCTGACTCGGTCATTAACACGTGGGAGCTCATGGACGGGTTAGACGACGAGTTCGAATTCGAAAACCCCAAATCCGGTAAGTCTAGTTCCGGTAAAGATTCGGTTTTTTGTCCTAAACCCGACCCGAATCGAAATGGGTCTGCGTTAAAATTGGTGAAGACGGGACAAGAGGAAGAGGATTGGGTCCCGTTGTCTTATAAAAAAGCTACGAAACCTCTTTGGAAGCATTTGTCTGAAGAATCTTTCTTGTCTGGTTTAGATCCTACCATTGTCTCTTCTTACAAGAAAGCTTTGTCTTCTAAGCAGTTAACCAATCATAGTATCATCAATGTCAAAACCACAAAGCCAAGATCTGTATGCTCTAGTCCATTGAGTTCACAAACCAAACCGAGATTATTACAAGGAGGAGAAGACAAGATTGTGTTATACTTCACAACTCTCCGAGGAATTAGGAAGACTTACGAGGATTGTTGTTGTGTAAGGATGATACTGAGAGGGCTTCAAGTAGTGGTAGACGAGCGTGATATCTCTATGGATTCTAAATACAGGAGAGAGCTTGAAAGCTTGCTTGGTGTTGCAGAGAAACCAAAACCGGTTTGTTTGCCTCAGGTGTTTATTAGAGGGAGCCACATTGGTGGGGTTGAGGAGATTATGAAGCTGAATGATAGTGGTGAGTTAGCTGAGATGTTGAAAAGTTTCCCTGCTTGTGTGTGTTTGGGGACGTGTCGGAGCTGTGGTGATGCGAGGTTTGTGCCTTGTGGTAACTGTGATGGTAGCACTAAAGTGTTTGTGGAGGAAGAGGAGAGGTTCAAGAGATGTTTGAAATGTAATGAGAATGGATTGGTGCGTTGTATTGAGTGTTGCCGCTAAGTAACTTGTTGATTGTGTAAGAGAGAGTGGTGATGATTTCTTGGTAAGATGTTATTGGGGTTAGTATTTTTGTATATTGGAATAAGAAATGGCTCAAAGGCTAACTATTGTTACCCTCTTCTGTGGTTGTGTTTTTTTGTTTGTTTCAGATCTGTTTTGGCCTTACATTTTTAACATTTCAAGGGTAATGATTATTACTATTTTATTGTTAGCCTATTTTATTATAAGTACATAGTGTTAGATGATGATTGTTAATTCGCATGACGCCAAAGAAAATCATTCTGATGTTTTGTTTTATCAGTGAAAAATCTATGCGCAATGGATATTTTTTCATTAAATATGAAATTGTGATTCTTTTGTGACCAAATATGAAATCTAATTTTGTTTGGATTTGAATCCAGACAAAATATATAGCACCGAAATTCATTTTAAATAAGATTTTCTACTTTTAGGTTTTGTCTGCAATACATAAATAAAATATCTTACCAATGGAAGTTTATGCGCAATGGAGATTTTTGTTCATGAACAAAATTGATTGTCATTATGTAAAAAACACTTGGTTGATAATTTCACCATTTAATTTACTATAGATACTAGGAATTGAATCCAAACAAAACGTGAAAGTCATTGAAAACAACATGATTTGCTTTTAGTTTCATATGGTATTTACATAAAGAAATCAATGGTTGATACAAACAAAATTGTGAATTCTATTCACATGCTTGATGATGATTGTGGAATGAATGTTTGTGATCACTAGTAAATTTAATTATGAAATTATCAGTCATTCGGATAATAATTTCACCATTTTGAGTAGCTATATATAGATTGAACTCAGGGAAAATAGCAGGCTATTTTCATTATAGATATTAGATAACATGTTTTGACCAAAAAAAAATATATTAGATAACATGTTTCATTATATAAGAAAATACTTACCATTATGAAAGTTTTAGCTATAGTCTTCTTATATCAATCAAAGATTGGAAAGTTTTTTCTCAAAAAAAAATTCAAAAGAAAAGTGAAATGTTTACAAAAACATTCAAATCCATTCAGGAGGGATCTTTGGTCAAAAATAAGGCCCAAAAAGCTTCATTCCTTGGGAACTTCCCCCACAATTTACTAGTATACATAAATAAATAAAAAAGTAAATACAAAACCCCTATTTGACAATTAAAGTTAAGTTTAGTTTAGGTGTCAAGCCGTCACGGTTTCAGTCTCTTCACAACACAAAACGTCATCGTTTACATTCGCCTATAAAGTCAACCACTGTACTTCTAAAGCTCACTCAGACAGTGGTTAGTAACAATCCAATAAAATGGAAGGGAAAGGGAACGAAAAGAGTTCGAGTTCTGGTTCGAGTCCCGGTCCGAGTCCTTGTCTGTGCAAATACGTGGATCCATCGAGTGAAGAGTCTCACAGATACTATCTAGCGCGGCGCAACACCTTGGAGATGCTGAGAGACAGAGGATACGAAGTCTCCCTCGAAGATATCAATCTCTCCCTCCAAGATTTTCGCACTGTTTACGGTGAACGTCCTGACGTTGACCGTCTCCGTATCTCCGCTCATCATCGCTCCGATTCTTCCAATAAGGTAAATTATCAATCTTCCTCATCTCTACCGGTTTTGTTTCTCTTTTGCATGTTGCAAAGATGTGAATTTATATTTGAATTGAAATTATATCTGCGTATGGATTCGTATGACCAAATGTTAGGCTTTTTTTAGAGTATGGTTTTATTATGGTGATGCATGTCATTGTCTCAAGTTTGAGATTTTGGTGACCTATGAAGATTTCTATATAAAAAATAATAATTTTGGGGCGTAAGGGTCTCGTGTAATTTTTTTCAAAATTTTTTGGGGGTCTGAAGCGAATGTTTCACTAGACATGCCCCAGAGCCGGATCTGGTTTGATGATGAAACTACTACTATATAGCCCATATTAAAGTAGTATGACTCATTGTTTCTCCTCTGAAAAACTTTGTACTGAGATATTTTTTTTTCTTGTAAAGAAGAGACAATGATTAATTAGATCTCTAGACTATGTATGGTGACTTGGGTGATCTCTCTGCTCTTTATAGCATGTTTCTAATGTGTTTGTTCTGATACCTACAAGACTACAAGTTCACATCTTTGATTGTTGGCCGGTCCTGGGCACAGGTCAGTGAAGCATTGGCTTATAGCCTCAGAAATTTTCAAAAAAAAAAATTACTTAGACATAAGCCCTAAAATTTGTTGAAAATATAGTTATTTAAACTTTTACTTAATTGTCTATAGCCTCCAAAAGTCTTAATCTTATTTGTTGGATGGTTTATTTCATGTTGTCACTGGCTGGTGATGCTTATAGGCATGCTTGTCACATGCTTATAGACATGCTTGTCATCCTTTATAGTTTACTCTCTAAGAGTGTGCTATTGGTATTAACAAGTTTTCTGGTGTTGATTTTTCAGGTCAAGGTTGTCTTTTTTGGTACTGGTAAGGTTAAAGTCAACACAATCCGCAGTGTTGCAACAGAGATACTTAACCAAGAGACCATAACCGGACTGATACTGGTTCTGCAAAACCAAGTAACCGATAAAGCCTTGAAAGCCATTGAGCTTTTCACTTTTAAGGTCGAGTTATTCCAGGTACATATACATATTTTTCTTTTCTTTTTCTTTTTGTTGGGACAACTTCAAAGCTGTAACACATAGTTTTCCTTCTTGCTTTCTCCTTAAGATAACCGACTTGCTAGTCAACCTAACAAAGCATGTACTGAGCCTGCCTCATCGTGTTCTGAATGATCAAGAGAAGAAAGCACTTCTCAAGCAATTTAATATCGAGGAAAAACAGGTACCTTATCTTTAAAACTTGGCTTATTATCAAACTCAGCTTTTCTTAACTGTTGTATCAAAAATTTTACTTTGCTATAGCTTCCTCGGATCTCAAAGAAAGATGCTGTTGTGAGGTACTATGGATTAGAGAAAGGTCAAGTTGTGAAAGTTGACTACACAGGCGAACTCACTGACTCCTATGTTGCCTACAGATGTGTGTGCTGAAGTGAAACCAATTAATAAAAATAATCATTTTGTTGTAACTTATTTTCGGCAAAAACTTCTGAAGATGCCTTGTAGGTTTTATTCTCCTTTTGGACAAGATCCTTTGCTTTAAACACAAGACTAAGTTTTTAGTTAAAAAATGTATTAAAAGATCCTTTGCTTGTTCTTGAAAACATTTCCACTTATGTTCTTCCCTTAAAAAGAACAGTTTATGTACATTTTAGTCGAAACACAAAAAAGACATGGAGACTCCACCATTTATTCGAAGTTTCGGGGACAATCAAAGCTCGTTGATGGATCGGTTAGAGAGGTTATCTTTCGAGGCACACCTCAACAATGCATTGCTTGGTCGGAGCCTATCTGAGTCTGGTTTCTCTTCCATGTACAATGCTGTCATAGATGATCCTCCACCAGTACATGAGGAGAAACAGCCATGCCAACAACAAGTTCGAAAAGGGTTACGTTTGAATAAGATGTTGAAGAATCTTATGAAACCGATTAGATACTGTGGCAGAAGAATCAGCAGAGGGAAGAAACAGGAGGCAGCGTTTGAGTTAGATGCTAGGAGCTTTAAGAAGTGGCAAACTTTCAGCAAATCTGTTCGTTTATTTTGAAGTTTTTTTAGTTAGTAGTTATCTTTCTACTAATGACAGTATTAACTACAAAAAAACATATGTACTTGTGTTTAGGGGAGGCTGAAGTTTAGCATTTGTTTTTATTTGTTGGTAAGAAAAAGAAAGAGAATGTAACACATACCTTACATAACAATTGAACTCTTCATGCCACTTGTTGTACCTTTCTCATAAATAAATAAATAAATGTAAAGAGGACTAATATCTATCTTATTAAAACAGAAGTACTAATAAAATATACCCCTTAGTTTTTCAAGTTATTTACACAACAATGCCATTATATTTATTAATAATCCTAATTTTTAGTAATATTGTCTTTTTCAGTTAATTTAATACATTTAGTTAAATTGTTTATTAATTTTAAAAACAAAATCATTTCTGGATATCCCCTAGATTTTCTCATATAACAGTTTATGCTACTGATTTTTTTTGCTAAAAATATAGAAGTTTAAATATGAAAATATTAGAAGTGCATAATAACTATAATTTACATATTCAATCACGTTGGACCATTTAATAACATATAGTCAACGTCTTTAAATACTGATTTCAGTTATCATTAGTGCTTAAAAATGTCATATTAAACAAGAATTTAATACATATATATATTTAAAAATTATATATTATTATATATAAAATAAATAAATATATTTGCAAAAATGTAAAAATAAACCCGCACGGGTGTGCGGGTCAAGATCTAGTGGTTATTAAAAGTTCTTTGAGGAATTTAAAAGTAATTTGATTTTTAACAAGTTTTGAAATAATTTTGAGTGAATTAAAATTTTATTTTCGATTTTTAGCTACTCTAAAATATGGTTATTTATAACTAAAAAACTCCATTTAAACATTTTAAATGATTATAAGTTTTTTTTTAAAATTCACAGTTACATAATAGTAGATTTTAAAACGATTTCTAAAACAGCAAATTCGAAAACACTAACTTTTTAAAAAAAATTATTTTAAAATAAACTAGATTTATTATTTTAATAATAAAAATAGATTTATTATTTTAGTGGTCTTGCATCATAAATACTCTACCTAGATGACACATGCATGCCAGCAAGTTCCAAGAGGATTAGGTATGAATAAGGTACTTTGAGCAAAAAAATGTCTTGATTATTTTGAGTAAGATTAGTTATCTTTCTAATGACAGTACAAAAATACATAACATACTCTGTTTTAGTGGATGCCGAAACTAGCACTTGCATTTTCTTCTGTAATTAAAAAAAAAAAGAAAAGAAGTGAATCCAACGGCTGAGATTAGTTTCCGTATTAATCCAAGGGTTTTAATTTCTTGCCATTAAACTCAGTAAAGCAAAAAAAAAAGATACTTTTTTGCATACAAACCTTAGCGACAGAGTAGGGCTGAACACCAACAACACCTCTTTTGTTTCGATTCACACAACTTCTGTGTGTTCTACTCCTCCTCCTCTTCCGTTTCATACGTATTGGTAAGTCTCTCGCATCCCAAATCTTGTTGAATAAATTCGAAAATCACAAAGCTTAGTTTTCGAAATCAGGACTGATTACAGTCTCTTGGTAAGCCTCTGTGTAGAATCTGAAGTGGAAGTTTCAAAGTTCTAAGCTTTTAATTTGTTTTTTGTTTTTCTAGCTGAGGAGGTTTGCTGGTGAGTTAAGTGGGAAAGAGAGCTAAAGGAGACGACTTTGTTGTTGTTGAAGGTATAATTATAATTAATTTTGCTGTAACAAGTAAACATCTTTATGCCCACTTGGTGAAAACAGCTTTGGAAGTTTCTTTGTTGTTGCTCTGATCCAAAGATCCAAGCTTTGTATTTGGTTTGTGATTCTTTTTTTTTTGTTTAACTACTTGGACTGAGACAGTCAACAACTTGGATCTGCTTTTGCTTTATTTAGTTTCTTCAACTCGTCAAAGTACACAATTTAATGAACCTTTTGATTGTTAGTTTCTGTTACTGTATCTTTCTGGGTTTAGTTCACTTGCTTACGTTTGGCTCCGTGTCTTATGTGTCCTTTGGGTTGTATACTTGTTGTATTGATAGTTATCTTCATTTTCCTATTAGTTTCTCTTTGATTTGTTTCTGATGTGCTTATGCCAGAGTGCAGATAGCTAGTGGGAGATAGCAGGAGAAGGAACAATCAAAATCCATATGTTCTACAGCATAGTGAGATCACCTTTTCTATCTTTGGTAAGTCACTTATTTTTTTTGTCAATTTCCATTTTTGTACCTATGTCATTGTCAATCTGTTTGAGAAGGATATACTTTTGGCCTTTTAGAATAAATGATTTAAGATTAAATTAATTTAGGTACACATGTGTTTTTAGTTATGATTCACTTCTGTGTTTGATTCCGTATCTGATTCTTGTTTTTACTGGCACTTTATTTTATTTGTGTACCTAACTAACCCTTCTTTTCTTCTTCTTTATTTTCAACTTGTTCTCAAAAGTGAGTTTCTAGTTCATATGGGTACATAGGCGAAGAAGGAACTTGTTGTTGTGGCAGGCAAGGATCAGATGAATAGTATCTCCATCACCGTTGGTGACCTTGAAAAGCAGCAGGACAAGGCTCCTGAAAAGCAGAGCGAGTCAGTAAATGAGTCTGCCAAGGAAGTAAACCTCACCATTGTTGTCTGCAATGGAGACTCAAGCCGAGGACATGAAACCGTGGAACTGGCTCAGATCTATGGACCAGCTGAGAGGGAAGAGTCTCCCAAAAAGGTTTGCTTGTCCAGGAACTCCAGCTCTCACGAGCAGTGTAGGTTCGTTCCTTTCCCTTTTTTCTTATTCATACGTTTCCAAGACTGTAAATGTGATATGTCTGTGTGTTACAAATCAAGTTTAATGAATCTAGCTCATAGGTCATTACTCTTTTTATGGTAAGTAGGGTTTGCCAGCAAGAGAAAGAAGAGGTTTTGATAGAACTTGGGTGCCTTTGTCGTGGTGGCCTTGCTAAAGCCCATAGGTCATGCATAGATGCTTGGTTTCGCACAAAAGGCTCTAATCAATGCGAGATCTGTCAGTAAGTAGACATTTCAACGTTTTCTTGATTCAATGGGAGAAGACTAAACTTACTGGTTCTTACATTAACTTTGTTTCTTCAGGGCAGTAGCTGTCAACGTGCCACCTCCAGAGACCCAACCTACTGTAAGTACAGTTCTGTATTCAAACAAAGAAAGTAAGTGGGTCATGAGTCATGACAGTGGTTTATTTGCCTTTTTTGAACAGACAAATTACTGGGTTTGGAGGATTGATCCCAGCTATAGACAAGAGCAGCGTGAGAGAGTAAGTGTCTGAGACTCACATATAGAGAGTTATCATTTGCATACAACTAAGTATTCTTGTGTCATTACAGGGATGTTTCAGTCCTCTATGGGTAGCATTCTCAATTCTGATAGGTGGTCTAATGCTGGATGTGTTAATATCTATCACACTTGGTGTGTCTGCACTCCCAGTTAACATAATCATTGGTACGTTTATTTTGTTATGCTCCACTGTTTTTTGAGTAAGTTTTATCGCAACACTTAATACATGGTACTTGTTGGGGTGGTTGCAGGAGTGATAGTGGTGCTAGGGCTAGGAACAGCACTAAGACTGACACTGGAGTTCTGCTACGAGTGGAGCTTGAGAAGAGCGGTTCAGAGGGCAGTGCAGAGGAGAGAAACAGCCCTTGCTAACATTGCATACCCATCTGCCTTGTAAGAGATAATGTCAAAGTTGGGAAATATCATCTTGTGTGTTTTAGTGTGTATGTAAAAAAAAGGGTTGTGTGGAAGACAAGTGTGATTGTCTTAGAATACTGAGTTTGTTGGGAGTAGTATCAACTTTGTGTAGCTTTAAACGTTTACAAAATTAGTAACAACCCCTAAAGCTAGCAGAATTGCTTGATTGAGTAAAAGGTAAAAAACTCCATGTTTGATTTTTAATAAGGGGTTTTTAGTAACTAAATAGAAGATATGGGATAAATGTGGGTAATCTAGAAATTAGAGGGTTTTTTTGCAATCTCAACATAGCTATCAGAATTGCTTGATTGAGTAAAAGCTCCATGTTTGATTTTAACAACAGAAAGTTTTTTCTTTAGTAGCTAAATAGAAGATATGTGATAAATGTGGGTAGAACTAGAAATTAGAGGATCTTGTTGCAACCTCAAAAAGTTAATTAGAATTGCTTGATTGAGACCATGTTCATTTGGTGGTCGCTAGGGTCAGTGACCAAAGTCAGCGATGTCGTTTGGTGGTCGCGGGTTGAGTGATAGGTCGCAGCAACCAAACGCTAGCGTCCAGCGTTTAAAAATTTAGGTCGTTAGAAATTTTAGCGTTCGTGACCAGTAAACACGCGATAAAAAAAGATAGGTTAAATTATAATACCTTCAAAATTAAATCCTCGTTTCTTCACCCTTCACTTTCATCTCTTCCTTGCCGTTTCTTTACCAAGATCTCATTCTCGTCTCTCTCTTGTTTTACCAGAAAAAACTTAAAGGTATCTCTCTTTCTCTCTCAATCCAGTTCTGAAGAAAATTAGGATTAGACTTGGGGTTTTTTTTTCTCTATAATCTAAATCCAAGTTTTGTATGTAACCCAATTCCATAGACACGTCGAGGATCTAGAAAGTAGATTAATTGTGTAACCCAATGACTACCATAGCAATCAACCACCAAACGAATAATCCAATGACAGGTCGCTGCAATCAGTCGCACGACATAGAAACAAATAACTATCAGCGACATCAAGTTGCAGTCGCTGGTCAGTGATGCCAGCGACCACCAAACGAGCAGAGCCTCAACTCCATATTTAAATTATAATAACATGAGATTTTTAGTAACTAAATAGAAGAAATGGGATAAATGTGGGTAGATCAAGAAATTAGAAGGTCTTGTTGCAGAGTTTAAAAACTCCATCTTTGATTTTATCCAAAAGGGGGGTTTAATTGACTTAACAGAAGATATGCGAAAATGGGGTAGATTTACAAAATAGAGGGGTGTTATAGTAACTTAATTAAAGATATCGGAGAAATGTGGGTAAATCAAAACGATAGAGGGTCTTTGTTGCAAAACCGTCAAAGGGGAAAAATATCTTCCTTCCGCGTGACCTTGGAGAGCAAAGCAAGTCCACTCTCTCTTTCTCTCTGTCCCTGACGAACAAAAGGAGACGAAGCAGAAAACGAGAAATCACAAAAAAGCTAAAACATGGATGCTAAGATCGGAAACTTCTTCGACTCCATCGGCTCTTTCTTCAGCGGCGGCGATAAGATCCCCTGGTCCGACGGTGATGTCATCGCTGTAAGTTTCCCGATAACCTAGAATGGAATCTCGAGCTGATTTTACGGAATCTAGAACTGTTCTCGTGTTGATTATTTAGCAGTTTCTGGTGAGATTCGTGTAGAAATTAGGTTTAGATGCATCTTACGTTGGATCCGTTGAAACTGTGGAGATATTCTACTAAACGACACAGTATCATTATATTTTCTTTTTAATTTTATTTTGTGTGGAATTGTTTAATTTTGAAGCTGTGGATGATTTTGTGTTTGGTAAACAATTCAAAATCATCCAAATCAAAAACAAACACAAAATCATCCACAGCTTCATCAAGATTAAACAATTCCACACAAAATTAGGTTTGATTTGGTGTTCAAAATTGCTGGTTGTTTGCTCACGTTGGATCCTTTGAAACTGGAGATATTCTACTAAACGACACAGTATCATTATATTTTTTTTATTTTTATTTTGTGTGGAATTGTTTAATCTTGAAGCAGTGGATGACAAACACAAAATCATCCACTGCTTGAAGATTAAACAATTCCACACAAAATTAGGTTTGATTTGGTGTTTGAAATTGCTGGTTGTTTGCTCACGTTGGATGCTTTGAAACTGTGAAGATTTTAGTAAACGACACAGTATCATGATAGTTTTTGTTAATTTTGTGTGGATTTGTTTAATTTTGAAGGGTGGATGATTTTGTTGTTGTTGTTGTTGTTGTTTCTGATTTGGATGGTAGGGATGTGAAAGAGAGGTTAGAGAGGCTACAAACTCTGGCTCTGAAGCGCTGAAGAAAGAGTGTCTTATGCGTTTGTCGTGGGCTCTTGTTCATTCCCATCAGCAGGATGATGTGCAACGCGGAATAGCCATGCTTGAAGGTAGTTAGCAACTCTTCTTTTGAAAACCATGACTTAAAAAGCTTTCATTTTTGTTATGCATCATGAGATTTTGATAAAAACTTCTTTGGTTTGTTGTTCTTGTTGTTTGCAGCATCTCTTGAAAACAGTGCTCCTCCATTGGAAGACAGAGAGAAGCTCTACCTTCTTGCTGTTGGTTACTACAGGAGTGGGGATTGCTCTAAGAGCAGGCAGCTCATTGACCGCTGTATCGAGGTTTCCATCCACTTCCCAGCTCTCTTTTCTTTAATACACTCCTTGTATTATCAATGTGTGATTGTATATATATATATATATATATGTTCTTTGTTGGATGGTTTGGTAGATGCAACCTGATTGGAGACAAGCTTTGGTACTAAAGAAGTGCATCGAAGACAAAATCACAAAGGGTAAGTCACTACAAGAAACGAAAGTTCTATGGACTGCAAATATGTTAGTAATAGTATTTCCTAATATGTTTGTGGTTGTATTGGCAGATGGAGTGATAGGGATAGGCATCACTGCTTCAGCAGTAGGAGCTGTAGGTCTCATAGCTGGTGGTATTGTAGCGGCGCTGGCTCGCAAGAAGTGACCACGATCCTTAACTTGTTAAAAGCTTGTGCATACAATAGCAGCAAGATGCTTTCTTTTTCTCCCTTTAATCCTTTATGACAAAACTTGTGTTTTTCCTCTGCCTTGCTTGACCTTTTTTTGAACAACGGAGTTTTATGATACATAAAAAGCTTGAGCTTGAGTTGGAACTTTTTCATTTTTACTTGAGTAGGATAATTCTCTTGATGCCATATTAATCTTCCTGTGGTTCATCTGTCGCACATTGTTTTGACCACAAATTAGAAAACACTGCCACCAATTAGTACTTGTAAATTAGTATAGACTTAAAATAATATTAAGATAACGTGTTTCCCACAAACTCAAAAGGATATGTTTTCTGTTCTTTCTTCTTTTCACTGTTTCTTCTTCGCCCAAGTGACGATTCTCGAAATAAAAGGAAAAAAAACCGTAAATTCAAGTGATGATTCTCTAAACAGTGCCAGATTATTATTGTCTATCTTGTGGCATAATGGAACGAGATATGTTGTTTGTCACCAATGACATGTTTCATTCTGATGTTTGGACTTTGGACACAGTTGCAAAACACATGGCCAGAGAAGAGTGTTCCAAAGTCACTAGAAGAAGCACCAAATGAATCCCACCAATTACTAACCATTAACGCATCTCACATTTGGGCAAGAATCAATCACTTTAGACGCTCTTCACTCCAATTTTCCAGGCAGACACTCTCAGATTCTCGACCTGATCCGTCTCATTTGTCCCCTTTGACTCCCTTACTCTCCCAATAATCATCTACGGAGACGCCTCTACTGGCAAAACAAGTGTTGCTCTCCACGTCTTCAAACATCTCAACCGCCCTTTCGTTTGTTCAAGCTGCCATACATGCTGCAACCCTCGTGTCTTGTTTGAGTCCATTCTGAATCAGCTTCTGCTTCATAGCAAATATTCTTCTTCCAACTGTTACGCTAGTTCGAAACGTTGTGACAAGTAATCTGATGATTCTGATTTTCTCGACTTCCTTAAGACAATCACTTACTGATGTGAGGAAGATGGTCTACTTGATAGTTGATCATGTGGATCTTATCAAAGAGTGGAACAAAGTTGCAACGATTCTGCAATTCTTTTTTCAATTTGTGTTCTGTTCTGATGTGTATTACTCTAACATGGGATACAATGGCCCTCTATCTGTTTACTTCCCTGAGTATTCTGAAGAGGAACTTCGTCAGATCTTCTTGAAATCAAGTTAACAAGAAATTATACTCTGCATTTCTCGAGTAATGCTATAGTGTATGGTGCTTTCTCTAACCTTCCTTCACTCATATGGTTTTACTAATGCAGTTTTTCTGTGTGTGCGTCAAACAGTGAAATATTATCAACATATTTTTGGGATGGTCAAGATCATCATTCCTAATGTTTTAAAGTTGTGATTATCGTATTTACAAGATTGTGGATAAGGTATTCACAAACGCATTATCTAACTGTTAGATATTGCATCTCACAAACAAAATTTTGCACTAACAATTCATGAACATTGCTGAGTTTGTTCAGGTTTTCCGTAATATTGTCTAAATAATAATAATAATTGATCTAAAGTTATAAATAGTCAAAATAGAACATTGTTTTTTTATTATCATTATTATTGTTATTTGTGTATTGCATTCGCTAGATTGCCTATGTCGAGTTTGTATATATTTTGTCCTGCTAGTTAGATCCAAGAGACCAGTGGCTGTCTGCATATTGACCGACCCAACTGGAGTTATAAGAAACATGGCGTAGACTAGAAACGAGTACTTGTCATGATGAGAGACACATGCTTGGCGTTGACATCATATGACCGCGCGTCCGTGTTTACTGGATGGTCAGAGACATATGACATTCGTTTTTTTTTCTTACCATGAATAAATGGATATAATATTGATCAAGCTTTTTGATTCCCTTAATATAATTATAAAGTAAATACTGGTGTCTACTTTTAATAAAAACAAACAACGAACAGCTGTTGTGGTCGGATAAAAACCTGCATGTAAATCTAGTCCCAGCTTTATCATGACTAAATTAAACTGACTATACTTTGAAATAATATCGAAACTTGATAATCTTTTTTTTTTTTTCCGTCAAGATTATATAAATAAAAGGGATCAAAGCCCAGTAAATACAGGGCCTAAGCCCAAACGATACAACAACATAAAGTCCATAACAGAAGGGAACATGAAAACCCTAAAAGGCCTATGGCCCAAACCAAAAGCAACCGGACAGCTCCCGCAAGCCCATGCGACGAGGAGGCTGGGCACGTGTGAAGATCTTATCCCTCGGTACGACACGCGTCACTTCCGCCTCAACCCGTCACCGCTTTGAGATGCCGCCGGAAAACCACCACCGTAACCCTCGTTTCATTGGAGCTCGATATAACAAAGAGCCTCCACCAAAACCAACACAATCTTCAACGCTTAGTGTTTCCTATGGAGAGCTTCATCGATCAATTCGAAATCTCATCCTTCTAAGCATAAACCACAACCACCAAAACCAAGAACCAAACCCGTTCCAAGATCGGAACCAATAACCTACCCTTCAAAAGACATGAAATACCTAGAACCGGCGACGCAAGACTATGGAAGCCTTCACATCCCGGAGACAAGAGCCGGCGACGGTGAATCTGAGGAAGCCTCCACCTCCCGGAGACAAGGACCGACTATGACAGAGCTATTAGAGCCTCCACCTTCCGGCAACTTTACTCAAACTTGCTAATCGACTTCTCCGCGCCACTCTCTCCCCACGACCGCGTCTTTACTCCAGAAACCGGGATTCCATTGAAGACGGTTCACTCTCAGAGTTAGCGACGTCGATAACCGTTGAACCAGAGCTCAGACAAAGCGGTAAGGGAAAGGAGATGAAAGAGAATCAAAGGACGTACATTTTGATGAAAGAAAGGGGAGCTCCGGCGACGGCACGCACGCACACGCGCCGGCCGCTCGCCGGACTCCAAAGCAGATCTACTTTTTCTCTCGAGTCTTTTTTTTNTCACTCTCAGAGTTAGCGACGTCGATAACCGTTGAACCAGAGCTCAGACAAAGCGGTAAGGGAAAGGAGATGAAAGAGAATCAAAGGACGTACATTTTGATGAAAGAAAGGGGAGCTCCGGCGACGGCACGCACGCACACGCGCCGGCCGCTCGCCGGACTCCAAAGCAGATCTACTTTTTCTCTCGAGTCTTTTTTTTTCTCGAAACTTGATAATCTATACGGGTCTATATTGGGCAAAATTGACCAGGAACAAGCTGTGCAAAATTGCAAATTCATTATATCCCTTTTCTAGTAACCTTTCTTCAAAGCTAACTACTAAAGCATTTACATAAAGAAATTAATAATGTCTAATAGAAACTTTCATCTCTTGAGAGAGCTTGGGGTTCATCAAGTTGTTATGAGATAGCTACCGGTATATCGTATCCAAAAAGCACAAGGCACTAAACTTAGTGAGTTGGATATATATATATATATATATATATATATATATATATATATATATTAGTTCATATTCATTCAAAAGAAATATACTACAGTTCATAACCCATGTACTACAGCAATATAAAGGAGAAAATAACCACAATATTGTACATGTTTATATTAGTGATTCCACATCATCTCTAGTAAGATAAACCTATAACTAATATACCAGAAACATAAAACTATCTATCTATAAAATCCACGAATCTTGACGTTTTAGAATATTCAGATATGGTGATATAGAAAAAAAAAAATATGTTTTCTATCGTTACGTTTTTATTTTACAAAGAAACATTTTCATGAGATGAAAGATTTCAAGATTATGACTGTCTTAATGAGACAAATTCAGTGAAAAATAATAATAAAAATTGCGAGGAAAAGTACATAAGATTGTTTTGTTTTTTGTGTGTTTATTGTTTTGTGAATTGCATTCACACTCACTAGATTCTCTCAGTTGACTTTGCACTAAAATATCTTCATGCTAATGTGGTTGTCTAATGATAACATCAACATGGTGTAAGATTAATAGCAAAAAAAAGTCTTTGTCCCGAAACGCAACTATTTGGGGTTGACTTCATATATATATGACCTTGTTTGTTGGCCTAACAGATTATATAAAGAAGACAAGTTTTGTAGATTGTAAGACATTCGTTTGTTCATTCAATATATAATATATAGTCATCAATTTTCTGTCTGCCTCTATATACCTGTGGCGTCTTTATGAGTTGTTTGTGTTGGTTATAAACTTATAATTACATTGAGACGCGGTTTTCTCTGTTTGGTCCGTGAATATATGAACACATGTGTGTGTTTTCAGCCGCCATAGTAAACCGCCAGAGGTGAAGGGCATTACTGTCTCACACAAACGCGGTTTACTTGCGATCACTCGGGTTTGGATCTGTAAAATCATACTAAACCAAACTAACTGATAGAATCATATGGTTCAAGGGTAGTGATGAATGTGAAAGCTGGAACGAAGAACTTGCTTTTTTTTTACTGGCCATAATGATCATAAGTTCATAATGTGACGTAGTTCTTTTCTGTATGCTTCTGTAATTGTAAGATTGCAACAGAGAGAGAGAGAGACACTACTACTACATTGGTTGCTGCTGTAAATTTTAAATGAGAAATAAAAGAAGTCAAAAGAATTAATCCATTTAGACATCACAATCACCGTGATCACTTCAATGAGAAAGAAAAAAGTCAAAATAATCCATTTTGGACATCGCAATCACCGTGGTCAACTCGAAGAAGAATATATATATATATATATATATATATATATAATTTTTTTTTTTTTGCATAAAAAGGTAAAATCGTCATAAAATGATCTACTCACTCACGTCACTTATTTATTGTATAAACATTTTGAAAATATTCTTTATGGTTCTATTTCACACTACTATAGACACACGTGCCTGCATGCTTTCTCTCCGTTTAAGCAACCGGTTGGCGTGGAATTATTGTATCCTGTGTTAGAGTTAATGGAATTTGATCATTTGATCTTTATTTATGCTTGGGCAATTGTGATGGTCAAGATTAAGAAACTATTGATGAGTTGGATTTGTGACTAATGTGTGCACTTGTTATGTTGTTGTTATGTCAAACGTTAATTATTTGGTACTGATTTAGTTGTGAATTGTGATGGTTTAAACATGTCTTTGTTGTTATTATACTGACGTGAAACTAAAAGAGCATGTGCAATGGAGAGTTCTTAGGGGGAATCCTTAGGAAAAAAAGGGTATTTCAGATTATATAAGGATATTTCAGATTTTTTTTTTAAAAAAAAATTGACCATTCACGTGTCGCCTCGTGTGCAGTGGAACCCGCGAATAGTGCAAGGATCAATCCTTAAATAATGATTTTAAGGATAGAATCATTAACTATTCATAGGATCCAGTAATTATAAAATTAATATTTTTCTAAGGACTCCTCCTAAGGATTTCTCATTGCACATGGTCTAATTGGTCCATGAATTTATAAGTAAAGTTATTTTAATATAGAATTATGTTGGTGGGTAATTGTTTGTGGTTTTTGACATATTATTTTGTTTATAGAATAATGTATAAGTTTGGTTATTTGTTTTAAACTGATTTTTTGTATAAAAGCATCTCCATTGACAGTTTCTAATAGGCTTTTGAAGACCAAAATAATGTAAAATAAAAAAAAAGACATGATAAAATTGAGAATTTTTCATTACACTTGATTGCATTTAATTGGTTTAACATTTTATTTTATGCGAGTCTCAGTGATGGTCAAAGTAACTAGTAGAAAGAAATGTATCTCACTTGCCGACCTTCATGACAAAACGAATAACCGAAGAAAAGAAGCTTTTGTTTGTTATCGATATAAAGTTTCTTAACACGGTCCATACGAGTAATGGCTTATCCATTTTACTTTTGCTTGTTGATGTGAACATGCTCCACATACTTTTCGGTTAAGTGCAAATGTAACTGATACAAAAATTATATAAATAGAGAATACATAATAAACCTAAGAGAGCATCTTTAACCAACTAAAACTTGAATACTGCATATTGGTAATGGTAGGCCATAGTATAACACTTAAAATTCACAAAGATATAATATATTACTAAGGTTTTGCTTTCCAAATCAATTATTTTCATTCGTTTTACAAACCAATCATATTCTTCGCCTTTCCCCCATCCTAGGCCAACTCAGAAAGTCTTCGAAATTCGACCAGGACAGTTCTTTCCTGATAAAAGCAAAGGTTAATTATTAATTTAAAACACTGGCCATACATATATATTTATTTATATTAAACTAAGCTTATTATTTAGATTTGGTGTATCCAAAAGTCATGAGTCATCACCTTTTCCTAATAGAATCGACCTGGCAATTTTTTTACCGAAACTATAATCACTAGGAAGCAAAAAGACGTCTCTATAAATTGCTAAACACACAGAGTCACAAAAATGAAAAAAAAAAAAAGGAAAAAGAGAGAAAACTTTCCTTCCTTCCTTTTTCTCGCCGCTAAAATGCGCCTAACTCCGTGTCCCCTTCACTAATCTGCGCCGGCCTCCGTCGTCTTTATGTCTTGATTTTCTAACACAAGAACTTGTCTTTATGTGCAAATCCAAAATGGGCATCAATGCTTCCGAGCCGACACGAACACGATCTCGTCCAAACCAATCTCAAGGAAGACACAACTCATCAAGACGCTCTCCGACAACAAGCACGACAACAACAACAACAACAACAACAACAACAGGAACTAGCTCGAGTTCCAACTCCAACAAAACCGCCGCTTCCTCCTCCTCATCCCTCGCAAGTCTCCGCGAATCCTTACCGGAAAACCCACACATCTACGACATCTCCGAGATCCGCGCCGCCACCAACAACTTCCTCTCCCACCGCCTCTCCTCCTCCTCCTCCAAAGCCTCGTGGCGATGCACTCTCCGCGGCAAAGAAGTCGTCGTCTTCCAAAGAAAGTTCCGACGAAAACTCGCTAAAGAGGAACTCAAAGACCGTCTCTCAGACATCTGCCGTAGCCACCACGGAAGCATCATCAACCTCCTCGGCGCATCAGTCTCCGACCACATCTACCTAGTCTACCAACACGTCAACGGAGCTTCCCTCTCCGACTGCCTACGAAACCCAAAAAGCCCAAATTTCACTGTTTTATCTAATTGGGCCTCACGGATCCAAATCGCCACGGATCTGGCCCATGGGCTTGACTACATCCACAACAAAACGGGCCTAAAAATAGAGAATCTCGTTCATAACCATATAAAGAGCTCCGCGGTTATCGTAACCGAGCCTGATTACAACGCGAGGATCTGCCACTTCGGGACCGCGCAGTTATGCGGGGAAACTAACGAAACGACGTCGCAGAGAGAATCGGTGAGATTCGAAGGCGTTAGAGGTTACATGTCGCCGGAGTTTCAAGGCTCCGGGATCGCGACTCAGGGATCGGACGTGTTCGCGTTCGGAGTCGTGATGCTCGAGCTTCTCTCCGGGGAGGAGCCGTTGAAGTATCGGTACGATAAGGTCACCGGAGATTTTGAACGGAGTTCGGTGATTGAGACGGCGAGGGCGGTGGTGGTTGACGGTGGAGATACGGAGGGGAGGTTGAGGAGGTGGATTGATCGGAGATTGGGGGATTCGTTTCCGGTGACGGTGGTGGAGAAATTGACGAGGTTGGCGTTGGAATGCGTGGAGGAGGATCCGGGGAGTCGGCCGGAGATGGGGAGAGTCGCCGGGAAGATATCGCAGTTGTATTTGGAGTCGGAGAAGTGGGCGGCGAATATGAAACGGCCAACGGATATAACCGTCTCGTACGCTCCTCGATGAGGGAATTAATTGAAATCTTTTTTTTTAAACTCTTTTATAAATTTGTATATTCTTAGTTTTTTTTTTAATTCAAATTATTGATGATTTGATTTGGTTAAGGTCTAAGTGTCGTTCTAGAGGAAAAATTTATTTACAAAATAAGTGTCGTTTTCGCTTTTCAATATAAAATTTCTTGACTTTATTATATTATTAATTTTTCTATTGGTTAAAATGTGGTTAGCTGTATTGATAATTGTATTTTTATATATGAAATATACAAAATTAGTTATTTACTTAATCCGTGTGCAGAAATATAAAATGATACTTATTATGAAATAAGTCTAAAATGATACTTATTATGAAATAGATGGAATATATGATATGAGAAATGCTAAGAATTTTTCATGATTTGATTAGATTTAATTTCTCCTTCATAAATTGGATATTTTTTTTCTCTTTAATTTAATTCATTTTCGTTTCCAAACGTTGTTCAGTTAGCTAAGAGTTTTAATGTCTTTGGTGTTTTTGGATTTAAAAGTCGAAATGATGAAGAAGAGATGAGTAAAGGGGAAGTAGTAAAAGCTAGTAATGGAATCTGTTTTTGAGTCGTGTGGATGTGGTGTGAAGTCAAGACATGAGTTAGTATGAGGGGACCAATTTTTACTTAATGTTAGGTTGAATTAAGAAATGTTTTGACTAATGGTAGAAGGCAAGTGTAAATGTGTTATCTCGTCCTAGGTTAGTTTTCAGAATCGACTTTTCCTATGTAGTTCTGAACTTCTGATACTTTTTGTATGTCGGTCGATTTGAAGTGATGTTGTCGTGAAGCTTTTCTTCTTCAGTTTTACACTTTTTGAAACATTTGAGGTTGTTTTCACGATATATGGGCTTTTGTATAGATCTTAACATTGGGCTTACCTTACTTTATAGCCCAATAGTTTTCATTGTTTAGCTGCTCGACTTATATGAGGCCTCATCTGTAAAAACAAAGTCTAAAACAACGAAGAACAAAAGAAAAAGACGAACACAAAGTTTGTTTTATTTCAACATTGTATTTATGTTTTCTAACTGAAGGATTATAACAAAGTTAGTAAATCCAGATTCTTATTTTTTTCTGTTAATCTCTTGAATAATATACTCCAAATAGTCCACTTTGATGCTTGCATTCCAAAAGATAGGACTATACATTTACTGGCTTTCGTATGTTATGTTCATCGGCCTATGTCTTTAGCTTCTTGTTAGTTTCCTGCAAAGAATGCCATACAAGCAAAAATACTCACAAGACCATATACGTATGAGTATTCATGTGTCAATATGTGTTCTAAAAGGCCATATATCCATTGATTCAACACATAAAGCTAAAGACTATTTTTTAAAGATTTAACGGTTAATCGGTAAATAATCGTCTGTAATATTTTTAACAAAACTGTAGTATATTTTAACAAAATTGAGTAGATTATCGTAGTTGCAAAATTTTTTAAGCAGAGACTATGTAAGAGCTTATTTGTGTAATAACAAAAAAATAGTTTTGTGGAAAGAGGGTAAAGAGAGACATGAATAAAAAGTATGAGAGATTAGGTGGTTTTGATAGTTAGTGATTTTTTTTTAATGGGTTGGCATAAAAAAAAATTTAAACACCTGCCTATTCCTATTATACAATTTTATTGGATAAAAAGAAAATTTATTATATAATAAAGGAGGAGAGAATGAGGGGTCAAGTCAAAACATCACATCAGTTTACACAAAGCATACAAATGTCTTGTCTTGTCAAATCATTTACATCTAGACAAAATCTTACTCCCATACATATAACATACACTAATACACAAACATGGACATGCACATACGTGGTCCTTTAGTACTGTTAACTATTTGGTAGATGGCATTTTTGGTGCAAATTAAGCAGATAACCTTCTTATTAGTATTTTTTTCAATTGAAATAATTAATCATTTGAGTGTTAGTTGGAAGGTTCGTAATTCTCTGGATAAATTAAGTTTTGCTCAGTGAATCTATGATAAAACAATGAGGCAAGACTTTGAATAGCCATCTATAGAATTTGAAAAATATATAAACAGGGTATATATTGTGATATATCATATAAATAGAGAAATAAAATATATATTCAATAGTGTACGTTAACAATTCTTTTTGCATGCAACTGATTAGAACGTTGAGAAGCTTTGGTCGAGAACTAGGTGCAGATAGAGTAATAAAAGCCTTTCGAAAGAAGAACATTATTATATGACCACACAAAGATCTTGTTCTATGTTTTAACTTTCTAACTGTTGAAGAAAATCTCTTTTATCTAAATAAATAAGCAGCTGAAATTTACTGTTTCACCGCCTGTTTTCTTGTTCTTATTCTTTCTTTCATTTGCAATCCTTAATTAACAAACACTTCTTCTGTCTTTTGCCACAATACTTAGCAGCAGAACTGGATGCTACAGCTTTTCTTGTCTCTTCCTTTTGTTCACCGTGTACTTTTGTAAATGTGAGTATTGTATGTGTATATTTGGTGTAATTACTGCTAGTTTACATATATTATAGTTATCTAATTGTGAGGCCCAAATCCCTGCCCAAATGAACAAAGAGAAAAACAAATAATCTCCAACGACGCATTGCGTACCACCTATTTAACCTTTGTATGTATACATCTATGATTTATGTATCATATCATATACATAAGTTAAATTATCAGACGTCGTTGGCCAATGCGCTGAAGATCAGCTCGACCTCGACTTATATGTCACACGAAATATGGTAAATCCGGATTTGTTATGGCGTCCAATTGGTAATAATTAGATTATCCATCTACATATTATATATGTTCCAAATAAACTCTCGAATGTAAGAATTTGTATTTTTATTAGTGATGGAATAGATCGGAATATCCAAAAATGTAGCATATGAATCCGGATTTGTTAGATATGTGACTTTAGTATCCGAATCCGGATCAATGTCTTCTGGATATTCGGATTATTAATCTTGACAATATCTAAATCTATGATTCAATTTGGTCAGATCACCAAACTATGTTAGTTCGGTTTAAGATCAATTAATTAGGCCTCTTTCGATAAAATCTAATTAATTTTGGTTTGATTGTGTAGAGTGTATATGAATTCTTATACTATATTAGATTTAGATTTATTATAAATTTCAATTTGAAATTTAGTTATGATAAAATGATTTAATTATAATATTTTATATATTCATGTTCCAGTTAAATTTTCCACATTTGAGAGTCATATTCTCACAGAGAATACACACTTTTTTCTAAAACCACGAATAAGAATACAGATAATTAATACGGCTAATTTGCGTTTTGGTTATAGACTATGCTATATTATTTTTTATTTTTATTTTTGCTATATTCTTTCAATTTCAGGAGTTTCACTTGAAGATAACTTTGAGTTTGACCAGTGGAACTTATCTTGGACTGAATTCATGTTACTTTCTACTTCAAAGCTGTCATCCAAGTTGGGGGAATTATGTTCTGACGCTACGTGTCTACGAAAATGTTTGGGCAATAATTTACATTACTTATGAGAGATTATTGTTTAGCAAAAAAAAAAACTTCTGAGAGATATAACTGGCAAGTAATAAAATGTTTGTATAAGCTACGTTTTTTTTTTGTCAACGGAAGATAATATTTAACTTTTTGAGAAAGATAATATTTAAACGTTAATATGCATTTTTGTATTACATTGATACGTTGAACTATGTTTTTATTATTTTGTGGTCTTTGCCCTCTACGACTCTCCCATGTAGTTTATGGATGAATTTGAGCATGTTAGGTCTGTGTCTATGAAGTAATAATTCAGAGAAGGATATGTAACTATCTTTTTATTATTTTGTGGTCTTTGACCTCTACGGCTCTCCATGTAGTTTATTGATGAATTTGACCATGTTAGGCCTGTGTCTATGAAGTAATAATTCAAAGTAGGATATGTTCATATTCTTGATTTGTTCATACTCATTCGTTTGTTATTAACTGTTTAAGTACAGTAAGGTTTACAAAATACGTAGTCTTAACTAAATTGAGCTAACTGAATAGTGCGACGTGTTTATTTATAAGACCAAGTTTTGTTAAGTGAACATGTTTAATAATTTTGTATGATGTCTTTATAGACCATTCAGTTAAAATTTTAGAAACTAGTTTAAGGTTTCAAATGAGAACTTAAGTTAACATTTTTGAACAGCAATTAAAAGTATCATGTCCGTAACACGTAGTTTAATGTTCTACGAGTTTTGTTGATGCAATTTTAGTTACAGTTTTCCGTATTGATTGATCTAACTGAAAGAAAAATCAGTTCATCTAAGAGCATCTCCAAAAAAATACTCTATTTTAGAGCTTGCAAAACTCTATATATATAAAGTTTGTAAATATTATGCTCCAAAAGTAAAATTTCAAATTTAACTTTAAAATTATTTGTATTTTATACTATGATCCTTATATTTGTCTCAGTTCAAATTCATAGAACTTTTATAAATAACTAGCACATATATAAAATTATTACCGCAATATTAAATGGTAAAATATTACACTAAAATCTTAATTATTAAGATAAATATATAATTAAATATTAAACTATAAATAAAATATCACATTAAGTCTTGTAATATCGTTGTTTAGTTCTAATTTTAACTATTTTTAATCTTATCATGTTTTTTAAAAGAAAAAAATAATATGTGTAAAATTTAAATTTATAAAATAAAATTTAAATATTAATGAGATATGAAATTTTAAGGGTTAAAATGATGAAACACAAAATATATAAGACTTATAAATATAATGTTTAATTATAAGGACTAAAATGCAAATAAAAATACGAAACTTCAAATTTGAAATTTTGAATAGTGACACTCTATATTTGAAGTTTCACTACTCAAATCTGCAAATTTTTTAAAGTTTCTTTTTGGAGAACTAAAAACTTCATATTTGAAGTTATAGAGTATTTTCTTGGAGATGCTATAAAATGTCATTATTTCAAAGGTCGCCTCACTTATATCTGAAGACTAATACATAGCCCGTTCCGAATAACAATACTTCGAGATAATGGTCTCTTCTCTCTTGACACAAAACTCATAAAGTGCTGCATCATAGAGGGAAAAGAAATCTCAAAAGAAAAAAAAAACCGTAAAGATAAATGAAGCAAAACCCTAGGATCCGGTTAAGGGAGGGCCTACCGAAAGTACAATCCCTATCATAATAAAAGAAAACTTGACTATATTACATATTCGCGTGTGGACATTCTTG